AATTTTTACTGAAATATTATTTCATTATGTATATTTTCAAATATATTTTAATTGTGTTCAATTTGTATGTTAATCCGTCCATTTTTTATTTTTGTATTAAGATGAACTGTGACTTACTTTAATATAGTTAGTTCTAAAAATAATGTTTTTTATTTTAATTTAATATTCATATGCAAGAGAAAAGCTGAGGTAATAGCTTATAGAAATATTTAAGACTGTTTTCTTGCAACTAAGAAAAAATGGCTGGGTTTTTAAAGGTATGAATAAAACTAACTTTGAACTTGGAAGTTACTTTTATTGCTCGTACAAGATATAAAAAAATAATTTTGTGAACCAAATATCTTTTATTGCTGAATATCTATGAAGAGTATTGCGTTCAATTTTATTGATAATTACGTATGTAATAATTTAAATCATAAAACATTTATCAAGGCACTACTTTGTAGATCCCACAACACACCTTTAGTTTTTACTGAATTATTAAACAACAGTTAAAATCAAAGATGTGTAAAGGGCTTAATGTCCAATCTTATTTACTTTGCCTGATCTCGCAGACTCTTCATATCAAACATTATTTTAACTCTATACATAAAATCAGTCGACATCATTATCACAAACTCTGGTGGCCACACCGCTACATTCATAATGGACTTTTAATCAAAACAAATTTAGTTGAACATATTCTATAAATTATTAAATTGTAAGGCAAAGTAATTCTTATTAATATGGCAGTTAGTTATTACCACTAAACCTAATTATTAAAAATTTTAAGATTGACTAAACTATTATGTAACAGAATGAACCTTGGAAAAATAACAAATCTCTGATATCACTTAGGGCAAAATGTTTTTAGAAATATACCAAAACATACAGACTATTCTATGTATTAAAACTAACAGATCAGGAGTTTCAGAACTGAGATTTTAAATACATAAAAGTGGTGGGATTTGGCATAACTTATATATTTATATTATGCAGATATAAAATAATAACTCATAAAGTGCAAATGTAAATGGTTTTTTGTTCTACATATTTTGAAATATGGTTCATGTTTAAAAGTAGATTGCACCATTTTATTTTTTCTCATTAACACAACCAGTTTTGTGCTGTTTAGTTATGTTTGAAATAATCTAAAAGTTACAGCTATAATATTCTAATATTTATTGAGATTGTAAACCATACCAGATGTACAAACTAAATAATTCATATTTCTTATTGCCCAATTAAATATGAATACTGTAAATATTGTTTTGCAAATAAAAGCAAATAATATTGGTATGACTATGTTTGCATTGATATGTATTACATATTATAAAAAGTTTACATTAATTCATAAAAACTTAAGAAAACAGTTATTTGTTCATATTTCTATATAGAAACTATATAGTTGAAATGTTTAAGTACTGTACTTTTTTTATAATAACATTTTTTGCAAGAACCCTACTGTGCTAATATTCTAAAATTACAAATTTGAGCATAAATTAATTGCAATGTCTTTGTGAATTAATTAATAACAATTTGGTGTCTTAACAATAAGTTCAAATTTAGATGCTTGTGAGTAACAAGAAAGCACATTTAAATTTAAATTCATATTTTTACCACTGGTACAACTTAAGCATTGCACTGTACTTCTTCTTAATTGTATAATCAAGATTCTTATATCACAAAGGAAATGCCACAACAAAATTCATATAACTAAAAATGCAGGAACATTACTAAAATTGTTAAAAAACAATTTTAATTATGTGATTCCAGACTAACATTCAAAATAAAATAGATTTACCAAACTATAACATAAAGGAAACAAAATTAATCTAGTTACATTATTGGTTCAATTACTTAGGGTAAAACAAATAAAGACCACGGAGATAACAGCTAATTAAATTGCTAAAATAGGAATGGATGTTTCCTAGTTGATATTTTTATATTATCCCTTTGCATGCTAATATCATCATCAGTATACTAACATCTTGTTAGAAATAATTCTTCTTTACTTCTTGTTTCCAAATATTAATAATCTTGTAAGCATGCTGGTGATGCAGGGCACTTGCTTCTGCTGATGCATGGTCAGCATATCCGGAGTATTAGATTCAAAATCAAGAGCCACTTTTTGACATACAAATGTAAGTAAAGTGAGAATATCTCTTTCTGAGCCAGAATAACGTAGCTCCTCACACAGAGCCTGCATAAACCATGACCCTCGTGTTGTGTTCCTCCAGGAATAGTATCCTGGTACAGTAGAAAATACTATGAGGAAATCAGCATGAACAGGAATCCGATATGAAGCACTAGAAGAGCCATCAGTTTCTGTGCGATTAGTTAATGTTATACCACCATCCAACTTGTCACCCTGGCATGCTTGAATAAAGAAAAGTTTAGGTTTACCAGCAAGGGTTGGGCATTTGTCTGCAGTGAAATAATACCAAAGATTATCAGGCTTGTAATGTGTATCTTTAGCATATAACATGCCTAGTTCACCGTGTGTTAGTACTGCAACGAGCAAGCAATCATTATCAGAGTGATCCATGTCGGCAGTTTGCCGAATGTAATGATTTATATCTTCCGATTTTAAGTTATGAAGAACGGTGACTCTAAATCCTAGATTTTTAAGAACTTTAGCCAAATTGTCACTGTCTACATTAGTGCCAGTGCGTGACTTCAGGCTATGTATATCAAAATGTTCGTGGTTGAATATGATCGCCATGCCGCGGTATTTATGATTCATGTTATAATAAGGTGCATTACGATCAACAGGCATTTTTCCATACGGCCGTGCAGCAGATGAATCGTGGCTACCCCATGCGTCGCCTTGATCGCCATCGCCATCACCGTTGGTTCTTTGTTCTACGTTGCCATTGTTTTGTGGTTCAGACTCCGACATCTTGACCAACAATTCTCAAGGTGTTAAATCAATATAGAAAGCTATCACGGTGTAATCTGATTTAAAATTTTGCCGAAAATATCGTTTTTTGCTTTAATTAGGACAAAAACCACAAAACCACTTCAAAGTTCAACTTCAGAAATGAAAATCAAAGAGTAAATAAAAACAACCAAACAGCAAATTCCGTGCGAGTTTGCAAAGAGTAAATTACATTATCCATTGTTACCATTACGGATTTGTTCAGATAGGGTAAAAGAATTTTTAGTTTTTCCTTTAATGTGAATTACACGAATCATTTAAAACTGTAAACATTAATATTTTAAACAAATAAATACCTATATCGGAATATGTGATGATGTTGACTATATCCACGATGGCAACCCTATTACTAAAGATTTTTTTTTCTCTATAACGAATGACAAATGTCTATCTATGTCCAACAAACCAATGTCTGGCAAATTGATATTGGACGGAATTTATAAGAAAGTTTGTATTGTAAAGAATACCATTTAGTGATCACTGGGGATATTTATATGAATTACAAAATGACGGGCAATGTTAATAATAAATTAAGCCCCAAAATCATTTCAATTTTCATAGTTTTGGTAAGTAAAAAAGACCAAATTGTTAATCCAAACCGCTATAGAAATCGGTACACGTACCTATAATTGATTGTTGATTTTATGGTTTATTAGGAAAAGTAATTAGTCTACTACTATTTAACAATGTTATTTTTCAGATTTGCCACAGTTTTTATAACCCAACTGATAGTGGTGCTGTTCAGATTACTCAAAGCAATTTAGATATGGTACTAGGTGAGTTTTTTAGTCCGCATTTTTTTTTTAATTTCAGTACTCTTGCTATAAAATATTTGTAATTACATTTTGAAAAATTATGATTTCAGCGTCTAATGAAGTTGTGTTTATAAATTTTTATGCGGAATGGTGTAAATTTAGCAACATGCTAATGCCGATTTTCGATGATGCTGCGGACGCGGTTACCAAAGAAGGTTATGATACGGGAAAAGTTGTTATGGGAAAGGTGGATTGTGACAGAGAAGGAGCTGTAGCAACTAGGTTTCACATCACAAAGTATCCTACATTGAAACTCTTTAGAAATGGTCTTCCATCCAAGAAGGAATACAGAGGTAAGTTTTATTAATAATTTATAACAACCATATAGAACTAACATATTAACAATATTTAAGAAAAATAATTCTATCTTAGCTTAGCAGGTAATTACATTAATGACAAGTTATTAATTACAATTATGACCTTGTATTCATGAAGATTTAGTCAAATTTGTAATGTAGATAATTAGTGCTTGTATTCTTTATTTGGTAGTGCTAAGACCTTAAATGATCTTAGGTTTTTAACTGTTATTAAACTTCAACAAGTTGTGTCACAGATGAATGAAACCTTAATTTAGTTAGGGGGCCTAATTTTAGTCCCTTTCACTTTCCACCCTTTTCTTAAAAGGAAGGGATGGGAAAGAAAAGTGGATTTGACGGTGGAGGAAACACATAGGAAGAGGGAATATCCTCTTTATGAGCGTCTCCTCCACCGTCGATTAAGGGGAGGCAACCCATCTGCAATTGCAGATGTCTACCGGCAGCGGTCACTTCGCCATTTCGGCGGTTTACCTACCATGTAATATAAAAAAAAAATTAGTAGGTTTTTCTTTACTTATAACTAGCATGCCTATGACTTCATCAACATGAAAAAAATCTAGTTATAAATTTAGTCTATTAAACACAATGATAAAATAGCTACTTAATGAAAAAGACATTTGATATTAGTCCAGTAGTTTTAAAGTTTATTACATGCAAAAACTACCAATTTCCTTTTCATAATATTAGTAAAGAAGACAATAATAAAAGTGCAATTATTGAAAAAACAGTTGTACATGTCTTAATGTTTGTAGACAAAGTTTGTTTTGTGTTCAAACAATGTCACTGTTTCTGTGTCTTTTGACATTGACTTTGTTTCTGTCCTTGCTTTACCTTATCACATAACTGGTATAATGTAAAAAAAAAAACTTAAGATAATCATGAGGAATAAATTTCACATATTTTCCTGTGCCATTATCATAACGAATAGCATAACTTAAGTTTTGTAGATTGGTATTCAAATAAAGTCTTATAATAAAAAAAAATTGAAAGTATTTAATAGTTATGGCAACTACTGCTTTTTTTATCTCCAATATTGAAAACAATTTACTCAGTTGTTATTTAAAGTACTCCAAATGCATCTTAATGTGATATTTTTCTTTTCTGTTGATACTTTTAATATTTAAAACCTTTTGCCACTTTTTGTCTTTTTGGAAATCCATTTGATATTTAAAATGTGAATAAACAATCAACACTGCATTAAAATTTATCTATACATATAATAAATTAAAACTTTATTGTCTGTCTGTCTGCAAGCCATGTTAGTTCCGGGTAATCTCAGAATCGGCCCATAGGCATATTATGCATGCCTGTCTAAGTCAACTACGCTGGAGGGTATATTATAGGCGTTTTTTTTTGTCTTAATATTGTGTGTACTAAGTCGCGGGCAACAGCTAGTATATAATATAATATAAGTATAATGTGTCAATGTAAATGTAGAACTGTAAAAATAAATGTTTTTATAATTTTATTTTCAGGTCAACGCTCAGTTGAAGCATTCACCGAGTTTATTAAGAAACAGCTATCAGATTCTATTATTACCTTTGGTTCCTTGAAAGAACTCCATGATTTAAGCGAGGACAAGAGACATATTATTGCATACATGGACAGGAGGGACCAGCCTGAATATGATGTGGTTCGCAGAGTGGCAGCTAATCTTAAAGATGAATGTATCTTCCATGCTGGTTTTGGTGATGCTTCCCAGCAAATGCACCCGCCAGGTAATAGAAATTATTAAACTTAGAGTAATAAATAATGGAAAATATCTATATGACCTTTGATTGATTGGTCTAAATCCTAAACAAAAAGTCTCATTTAAATAATTGTCTGCATTTAATTTTAATAAGATTTATGCTTAGATTCTATTTGTGTTAATAATTGTTTTTGTCAACAGGACAACCTATTGTGGTATTTAGAACTGATCGTAAAACTTCAACTGAACCTGATGAGACGTTCCAAGGTTCCTTGACCAGCTTTGACGAGTTATATAACTGGGTACAAGAAAAGTGCATACCTTTAGTCCGTGAGATCACCTTTGAGAATGCTGAAGAACTGACAGAGGATGGATTGCCGTTCCTTATTCTGTTCCATCATCCAACTGATACGGAGAGTGTGAAAAAATATAAGGAAATCATCAGTAAGGAGTTGTTGTCTGAAAAACGTATGTATATTTTGGTTAAAATCTTTACAAAAAATCTCACAAAATACTATGTATTGTGGCGATATAAATTTACCATTAGTACAAATTTATGTGTCCGTACTTTTTTTCAAGAATAGTTTCGTTACAAAAATTTGCATGTTCTTATGTATGATAATAATTTGTTTGTTTGTAATACAAATACAAATGATTCCTTATCAATGTTTTTGTCAATTATGTTATCTTGCAGTTTTGTTAGTCTTATAACATTGTTTGTATATTATTTGATAAGATTAGAATGTGTGTGAAATTTTTATAACTCATTGGAAGTTTATGGATCTAATACAAGTCTTTCATAATTTAATAAAATGTCAAATTTATTCAATTGAAACTCCTTTATTATTTAATAGTTTTGTCACTTGCTTATACCTGCATTTTATACACATATAACTTGTAATGAAACATGTTGTGTAATTGTTTATTTTTATTTGCAGAAAATGTGAACTTCCTGACCGCTGATGGTGTGAGGTTCGAGCATCCTCTGCACCACTTGGGGAAATCGGTATCAGATCTGCCGCTGATCGCCATCGACTCGTTCCGACACATGTACCTGTTCCCCAACTACAGTGATATGGAGAAGCCCGGCAAGCTCAAGCAGTTCCTGCAAGACCTCTACTCGGGAAAACTTCACAGGTTAGTTAACAACTTCAAACCATCACACATACATGCTTTCTTACTAATATTATAAATGAGAAAATTAAGGTGCATTTTTTTAGAAGTTTTTTCTGAAATGGCTCAAAGGATCCTGATTAAATTTGACACAGATATAAAAGTCTAGTCTGGAATATAGAAGTCTAATCTAGAACTTTCCGTAAATATACAATTGACTAAGAACTAAATTCAAGGGGAAAAGCTATTACTATTAGAGATACGAATGTGGATGGATGGATGGACGTTTGTAGGACTATGTATCTTCTACGTAGGTTAACGGGTATAAATGAAATTTAACAAAGATGACATACTTTGAAAGAACACAAGCTTCTTACTAAGATTTTTTTTAATTCCGCGTGTACAAAGTCGCGGGAAGAAGCTAGTAGTAAATAAACTATACAATCAAATGTCAATTTAGAATTAAAAAAAAAATCTAATATAAAATGAATGATAAACATTACTTTGTGAATTCTATTTTACGGGCCCAATTAATCTAATAGATTTTAATTTTGCTAGAACATATTACTTAAAACCCATTGTAAAAATTGTAACTCAACTTAGAAAGAGGTTTCTATCAATTAATTTTATTGTTATTACAGTTGCCTTGTTAACATCTGTTTTATGCTTGACTAGCAATCAATTAGACTCGCTTTGAAAACGAAATATTCAATACGAAAAATTATTTATACTGATATTATAAATGCGAAAGTTTAGATGGATCAATGGATGGATGTTTGTTACTAAAAATGCTCAACAAGATTTGTTGAAATTTGGTGTAGATTTAAAATATTGTCTTGAAGAACACATGGGCTACTTGATTTATTTGTTTTTATTTCGCGCTGGCGGAATCTCGGGCAAAACCTAATATGCTATAAATGACTTTTGTTGTAAAAAATATTTTTAAAGATGAGAGCAATTACATTTTTTAACTAACACTTTCACAGCTACCAGCTTGAGACTTAATTTACTGTCGTAATAATCATTTCTATATATTACTTATGGTTCTACGTCCCTGAAGTGGGACAGATATATATGATTTGTATACATTATCCACTTGCCCTTGTCCCTATGGAGGGTCGGCAAAGTATGTGCTGCGCTTTCATACATTTCTATCAGCCGTCATATCGGAATCCACCCCCTTCTTAAGTATTTTCTTTCACACAAACCACCCATACTTTCTTCGGTCTTCGTCTACCTTTGTAGCCATAATCAATGTTTCTGGTTTATGTCCTCGTCCTCTCCCCGCATAAAATGTCATTACCACGCTAACCTTTAGCTTTTCAATATGATTTGTATACACAATGTATTTTTATTTTCCAGAGAGTTCCATTACGGTCCAGAGAGTCCGGAGGTGGTGAGCACAGATGTGAAGGTGACTACTCCCCCGGAGTCCACCTTCAAGAAGTTGGCTCCGTCCAAAAACAGATACACTCTGCTCAGGGACGAGTTATAAGGCTGCTGCAGATTAGGTTTTGAAATTTAGCTTAAGTCAAAGCCAACTAAAGGAGCTTTAGTAAAACATCTCATCTAATTTTTTTTTTCTTTTTTCCCTTCTATTTGCCTTTTTAAATCGAAATAATCCTGTAGACAAATCTTTACTAATCTAAGGATTTTAATGCATTTATTATTTCGGTAATGTACGTAATTTTGACTTATTGTTACAAAAAGTTGGCGTTTTAATACCATATTTAACAGATGTTTTTTAGAAAATGTTGCTGGCTGTATACAAATGAAATGTGACATTTGTATACAAGAGTAAATAAGTTTGTCTAAATAAGATAGATTAGTTTGATAAATGACGCATATGAAGTATCGAATTCAATTTGTGTGAAGGCAAATGCCGTACTTAATAGACGGGTATCGTAGTGACGAAACAAACACGCAGCTAACAATTATGAACTATCGATATTCGGTTTAAATAATTATCGAACTCAACTAAAATTATTA